ATTAATGCCAAACAATGTTTCTCAATTGGTTAGTAGCGTACTTCTGCTCCGATCAGCCTCTGAATGATGTAGTAGAGCATATTTTCCTTTCATTCTTCGTTATGCTTGGCCAACAGTGCTCCGAGGGACTCTTCTAGTGCCGTTGTGTACAGTATAAGAGGTTTCGTCGGAATTGGTTCCGCAAGAATGTGCAGGTTTAATAGATATCTTTTAATGTTGTCGAACGCTTCCTGACACTCTGCATCACATTTGATGAGGACATCCTTCTTCATCAACTTTGAAAATGGTTGGCACATACCCGACAGATTCGATATGAATCGTCAAATGAAAGCCAGTTGCCATTGTAAAGAACGAAGTTGACGAAGGTTTTTGGGAGACGACATCTCTATGATCGCCTTAATTTTGTTGGGGTCGATCTCGATTCCTTGGTGACAAACGACATACCCCAAGAATTTATCGGAAGAGACACCAAAGGAGCATTTAAGAGGGTTCATATTTAGATCAAATTTTTTTATTCTCTCTAACACAATTCTCATATCTTTTAGATTGTCCTTCCAATCTATGCTCTTAACAACAAGGTCGTCCACCTAGCACTCAACCTTTTGATGTATTAACTCTTCAAATATAAGAGTCATCGCACGCTGATAGGTGGCACCAGCATTCTTCAGGCTGAAGGGCATGACTGTATAGAAGAAAATGTCGATGGGCGTTCTGAATGACGTATGCTTCTCATCTTCAGGCCCCATCTTGATTTGATTGTAGACCGATAATTCGTTCATAAATGAGAATATATCATAGTTGTAAGTGTTATCCACTAATAGCTCTGACACTGGAAGCGAAAAATCAGCTTTTGGACATGTCTTGTTGAGGTCCCGAAAATCGATACAGACACGAATTTGATCGTTCTTCTTCACCGGGACAATATTGGCAATCTAATTGGTATATTTTTCTTCACGAATAAAGGCTTCTTCTACAAGCTTTTTCGTTTCTATAAGCATATTTTTCTGCCTGGGAAGACGCACTCCTGAGAGCGAGGCGACAACTTAGTTGGTGCTTGAGGTTTAGTCCAAGGAAAGCATAGGCATCCGAACATGCGAAGATGACTATAGGAAGCCGAATGACCGTGGAGCCTGAGGTAGGGAGTTTGATTTAGGAGAGTTATAGAGGGTACCCGATTTATGAGATAATTTGTTGTGGATATAGCCTCAGCCAAAAATGTGAGAGGATGGTGTGCTGCGTCTAGAAGAGTACGTGTTGAGTCCAGGAGGTGTTGATGCTTTTGTTCAGCGGTTCCATTTTGTTCTGGTGTGTATGGGCAGCTCACTTGATGAGTGATGCCATGAGTGAGAAGGTAACTTTGGAATTCAATGCTAGTAACCTCACCGCCTCCGTCGGACCTGAACGTTTGGATGTTCGTGTTGAATTTGGTTTTAATTAGATTATGAAACTGTTGAAATTTAGCAAAGGTTTCGTGTTTGGATTTTAACAGATATACATAAGAAATTTTTGAGAATTCATCAATGAATATTAAATAGTAATTGAAACCATTCAGTGATGATATGGGGGCTGGACCCCAAACGTCCTACTGAACTAATTTAAAGGGCTTATTACAAGAAGAGGAACTAGTAGGAAAAGGGAGTTTATGACTCTTTGAAACGTTACAAGAAACACAGGCAGCTGTACTAGAAGCAGATCCGACGAGTTCCAGGATGTCTTTGACTAAGGATTGGAGAATGCGTGGGCTCGGGTGACCCAATCTGGCGTGCCACAGTGAGTGAGAGTCGCATGTTGCCCATAGAGCCTTGATATTATGACTGGAAGGAAGCTTGAGTTGATACAGGCCATGATGTTTGGGACCTAAGAGGAACGTTCGATTGTCCCGACAATCCTTTATGGAAAAATCGTTAGAATTAAACAACACTGAAACATTGTTGTCAATAGTGAGTTTAGAAATTGACAATAGGTTGTGAGAAAGAGCGGGGAGATGTAAGATGTTACGAAGATGTAGCTTACGATAGGAATTTAGAAGAGGTAGGAGCCCTTGACCTGAGTTTTGAATGGGAAGATTGCTGCCATTTGCAATGGAGACGGAGTCAAGCCCTGTATGGAGTGGGTTGTTGAAGATTTGCAGCGTCTGCGGACAGGTGAGACGATGCTCTGGAGTCCAAGATCCAATCACCTGTTGAAGAAAATTGTTGTTGAACTGTCGGAGCTTTGGGATTCGACGGAGGAGCATAGTGCAGGTTGCATCGGTGCCAGCAATTGAGTGTCATATGGTCGTTATTGCCACATATTTGGTAGTTTAATTTGCCGGAGGATGTTCAGCCCGAGTGCGTTGAATCTAGATTGGAGGGGGTTCTTGAATTTGGATTCTTTCCTCGGAAGCGATTGAAGCGTCTGCGAGTATTGGCAGTACGGGTTGAAAAGAGAGCCACTGCATCAGTTTTAGGGTTGGTTTCTTGAGCATGTTCGTGTTGAAGATTGATCTCCTCTCTACACAATAAAGAATAAAGTGTGTCGAGACTAATGGGAGTTAGAGAAGTCCTGATTGCAGTCTTAAACGGATTGTAGATAGAAGGAAGGCCGTTGAGTATATATAGTATGATGTCCTAAGTGTCGATTTTAGATCCAAGCGCGGCGATGTTATCGACGAGAATCTTGATTTGATCAAGATATTGATTCATTGTCCGGTCCTTCATCTGAATTTGGTGAAGCTCATTTTTAAGTTGTATGACTCGTGATCGACTCGTTGGTTGAAGGCGCCGTTCAAGAGTGATCCAGACTTCGTGAGCGATTTGAAGAGTGAGAACGTAGGGAAGACGGAGGGGGATATGGTGGAGAAGAGAGCGGAGATGAGATTGTGATCGATTAGATTCCAAAGGTTGTGTTCTTTCTGATCGGAAGATGGCAGAGGTTGTGTTCTTTCTGATCGGAAGCTGGCGGACACAATGTACGTCCGGTGAGATGATCGCTAAATTCGTTTGCAGCGAAATGTTGGTGCAGTTGCAAACATCATATTGCATAATTGTCGGTAGTGAGCTGGGTGGGAACGATATTCTTGATGTTAGAAATAAAAAATTTAAGAGTAGGGATTACAAACTCTGCGAGGGTTTCCGAGATGTCCGAGGTGGTCTTTCGTGAAGTTGCAGATTCTTGTTCGGCCATGATTAGAGAAGAGCTGTGAAGCAGGGCAGCTCTGATACCATGTGAGAGTTCTTGCCTGAGGGCAAGAGAGAACGAAACTGGAAAGAAGAATCTTGCCTGATGGCAAGATAGAGACGAAGGAGACAGAAACTCAAACGGAGAACATAGGAGAAATGAAGTATTGTATTATATGTCTTTACTGTACTTGAGGGACTAGTATATATAGACTAGACCTATCAAGCAAATACAATAAAATATAAAACTAACTAAAGCTGACGTGGACTGTTCAACAACAACAACAACAACATCAAGCCTTTATCCCACTACGTGGGGTCAGCTACATGAATCCTTTTTCTCCATTGTGTCATATTAAAAGTCAAATTCTCGTTTAAATCTAATAAAGAAAGGTCATTCATAATATTTTCTAACCAAGTCTTTTTAGGTCTACCCCTACCTTTCTTAACATAAGTCAAATCTAATACCTCTACTCTCCTAACCGTGTACTCTTATTAATGATTTGATCGCCCAAAGTCACAATCCCTTCAGTAGGTCTATTACTACTAAAATTACACTCCATATATTCTGTTTTAGATCTACTCAAGCGAAAACCTTTAGACTCTAAGGTTGACCTCCATAATTCAAGTTTACCTTCAACTCCCTCTCTAGTCTTATCAACAAGAAGAATATCATCAGCAAAAAGCATACACCAAGGTACATCCTCTTGTAAATGTCTAGTGAGAACATCCATGACTAAAGCAAAAAGATATGGGCTTAAGGCTGATCCTTGATGTAACCCAACCGAAATAGGGAAATACTTGGTCAAACCACCTTGTGTTTGAACACAAGTAATAGCTCCTGCATATATATCTTTAATGATTTGAATATAAGCATTATTGACTCCTTTCTTTTCAAGAACTCTTCATAGCACTTCTCTTGGAACTTTATCATATGCTTTTTCTAAATCAATAAATATCATATGTAGATCCTCCTTATTTTCTCTATATTTCTCCATCAAACCTCTTAATAAATGTATGGCTTCCATAGTCGACCTACCCGGCATGAATCCAAATTGATTTTGAGAAACATTAGTATCACGCCATAACCTATGCTCCATAACTCGCTCCCATAGTTTTAAAGTATGACACATTAACTTAATACCTCTATAATTCGCACAATCTTGTGCATCACCTTTATTCTTAAAAATAGGAATTAACACACTCATTCTCCACTCATCTGGCATCTTCTTAGTCTTCAAAATAGAATTAAAAAGTTTAGTAAGCCATGAAATTCCTTCATCTCCTAAGCATTTCCACACCTCTATTGGAATATCATCAGGTCCAACAGCTTTTCCACCCTTCATTTTCTTTAAAGCCTCTCTAACTTCAGTTTTACTAATACGTCGATAAAAACATAAATCTTTATTTTCACGTGGACTGTTGCGCTAACATAAATAAATCTATATTCTATTATCAAACATCTGCATAAGACATCCAGCTAATCTTTAACTAATGTAATCATATTGTAATTCGTCCTAGACTCCTAGTTAATTCTTTTCATGATTCAATTTTTAATACTTCTTGAATTACTCTATTGTCAATAATTCATTGAAAAAAGAGAGCAGCTTCTAAATTATGTCATTATTAAAATACTTTAATTTATGAAAGGAAAATGCGGAAAAAAAATAGATAAGAGAGGGAGGGGGCTTTTTAAGAAAAGGAAACGAAGAGAAAGAGAAGAGAGAAGTTGAAATGATAGAAGCAATAACTACTTTTGTCGCATGATAGCCCTTATTCCATGACATGAGCATAATTTAAGTATGTCCATGATAATTCACAAGAATGACATAATTCACTTACGTTTTAATCCTAGCCTTAAGATCAGCTATTCTCTCCGTTGAAGTTGACATATCAACAGAAAATTCCACAGTATCACCCATGTTAGGGCTCCGATAGAAGTTTCTTATTGGTTTGTTGGCCAAGACTGAATTTGGATAGTAAATTTTTGAGTTGTCAAGTTGAAGAAAAACAGTACTCAAAATGTTCATCTCTTCGACAATCATCTGAAAGCATCAACTACTAAAATTGTATTAATCAAACAAATAGCAAAAATTCAAATAATTAAACTCAAATAATTACCTGAACACCTTCAATCACACATCGGTCACCAACATCAAAAGGATGCATCACAAAGACAAATATGATTGCTTCAAAAGCAGTTTTGCAGCTATTTGTAAATATGAAGCCTACTAGTACAACCTGAGATGAGATCAAAACTAACACTTTTGTTGTGGCAAAACCCATGATAATCACTGTGATGATTATGATAAGAACAATAACAATAGTAGACAAAAGCTTGTGCAGTTGATTGACAGCTGTTTTGGTGTCATTCAGTGAATGTGCGAGGGACTTGCGATCAAGATAAGCTTTCACCTTTAAAAAAAAAAAAAGAGTTAGGATTGAAAATATATAAATAAACAAATATCAGAGGGAAAGGCATAAGGATTTCTTCTTTGACTCATTTCTACCAATCAATACTATCAGCTATGAGACATCATGGAAATGAGATTAGTTCCAGCACTGTTACAGCGCTCCTTGCGCCTTTTCAATGCAGTTCAAGTAATAGAAATGTCATCGCAGATGCAAGTTTGCATTTTGTCCAACATTTCCATTCTGATTCACAAACTGTTCAGCTGGAGTTCAATTTTGCTTTCACTTTTTTTCTTGCAGTGTTCTTACCTTAGGATTAATAAAACATCTGGTTCATTGTGAGCATATCTTACAAAGCATAAGATAACATCCAACTCACAAGTCTTTGCAGCAGGGTCCAGAAATTAGAATAGAATCCACAGTCCTGTTTTCCAAAATTTACAATAGAATCCACCGACCTGAAGATCCGAGTTGCTGAACCTCTAACTACCTTGTTTTAATCCAGATATTTGTTTTTTTTTTTTTTTACTTCATGGTGCATGTTTTGCCTTTGTTTTAGTGTTTTTGGTCATGACGTGGAGCATGGTTCCTTGTATGAATGTAGAAATAAATAACTTAATAGCGGATTGTTGGTTATTGAATAAAATATTTTCTCATTAGATATTTCTCTACTTTTTTATTTCCAATATGCATGACCTAATTCAAGTGCGAGGCATGTTACTGGGTTCAAGCCATCTTCTTATTAAGATGTTTAGTGATCAATAGAAAGTGAGACTCTTTACTAAGCTCTGGCACATTTTTTTAAATCAATTATGTGAATGAAATTTTGTCCTATTGTGATTTTCGTATGACCTTCAATTATTGTGATTAATTTCTTGAATAGCATATACTACTAAATCAGAAGGATTAAGTTTGTCTGTTTCTATGGATCACCAAAGCGACAAGTAATTTTCATAATACAGTTTGCTTTCTTTCAGATGATGCTAAGTTTTACATCAATTTTGCAATAGGTTAATTGCATCTTCATGAAGAAAAATCTCTTTACATTGCATATTTGCAAATATTGCATTTCATGACATTAAAACATCATATCCCCTTGAGAAGTCCTCGATTCTACATTACCATGTACCACTTACTGTTAGGTGTTGGTTCAATTTTAGGATAGATTGATCTTACGATTATCACAACAATGTAAATCTCTATAAATAGAGATTATATGTGATGTATAATTTGGGAAAATTTTAAGTAAAGATTTAGATTAGATTTTTCTCCTTCAAAATCTGTCTTCCCTCTCTCTCTCTTGCAAGAAGAGCTCAAGAGCTCTCAAAGAACACCTAATTTCCTAACAAATGGTATCATAGCCTCGTTAAGGCGATCTCAAGGAAGAAGAAAGGTTCTTGTCCAAGAAAGAGGGAGGCAAGGCTCGGGCCTTGTTAGCACAAAGGAGGCGAAGGGCTCAGACTGGATAGAGGCTTCGTTTGCTTGAAGAATTGGGAGATAGACTGCGGTTCGATTCCGTGTGGGACTTGAAGTCGAAGTCGCGCGTAGAGGAGGAGGCAGAAGCAGGGTCGGGTCAGGACGGTGCCGTGTAGAGTCAGATCCACAGAAGAGGAGGCAGAAAATCAGAGACTTGGTGCCGCTCGGGTTGGCAGAAATTGTACGGGAGGCCTTTCTTGGTTTGCTTGGGTGAAGCTGGGCTCGGTGTAGGACGCGGGCAAAGGCAGACGGAAGGTCCCCGATGCTGGCTTGTTCGCGTGAGGTCGAATTGACAAAAGCCAAAGTGGGATTAGTTTGCTAGATTTCAGACGGGACTCTCCAAAGCAGCCGAAAATCCTTCTTCAATGGATATATGGCACCTGAATATGCAACAAGGGACTATTTGATAGAAAAGGCAGATGTCTACAGCTTCAGCATTGTTGCATTGGAGATTGTAACTAGGAAGTGTGTCTCAAGCTATATGAAAGAAGACCAATATCACCTTCTGGACGTGGCACATTTTGCAAAAGATAAAGAGGACCTATGGTCTCTTGTTGATAAGAGACTGGAAAACCAATACAATCAGGTTGAAGCTTTGAGAATGATCAGGGTGGCCATTCTATATGCACATTCATCACCAGCTCATAGGCCTTCAACGTCAAGTGTAGTGAAAATGCTTACTGAAACACTAGCATCCTAGACTTTGTTCCAGATCCATATCATTTCAGAGACAATCTAGGCTATGGTTTTGGTGAAGATCTTTGAGGTGGAGCTTCCGGGTCAGATTGTGAGTTTGATCGGCGAGAAGGGTCATTTAGATGTTGTGTGTTGGAGCAGTGGATCAAATCAGGAAAGGTCAAGAACCGTGGGGCGACAGGTTGGCCATGGACTCGGAATTGGACATGTGTAGTGCGACGTCGCAGGTTGGAGCGCACACGAGTGTTCGAGGAAGACTGACAAGTCGGTGCTGGAGCGTGAGCTGGAGCCGTGGATTGGAATGCACGATGGAGGCCTTTCGCGAGCGGGATTAGGCTCGGTTTGACGGGATTGCTCGTGAAGTTAGATCACAGTTGGTGCACATGTGGTTCTTTGATTGTAAAACCTGGACCAAGGTAGAGATTGTTAGGTGTTGGTCCAGTTTTAGAATAGGTTGATCCTGCGATTACCACAACAATGTAAATCTCTATAAATAGAGATCATATGTGATGTATAATTTGGGGAAATTTTAAATAAAGCTTTTGGTTAGATTTCTCCTCTCTTGCAAGAAGAACTCAAGAGCTCTCAAGAACATCTCCCAATTTCCTAACACTTACTATACACAATTTTATCAAAATCATATACACCAAAATGCATGTTTTTTCTTAATTAAGTTCCATTAAAGTATTGAATAATCTTATAGCTCGAGAAAGAAATTAATCCTCACATTGAAGTCATCTGAATTAAAAAATAAAAAATGAGTATTTGATATTTCCATTGCTTAAAATAACATATGTGAACCACAAAAATTCGTTGGCATTCCCTTCAACTAAAATGTAAAGGCAATAAATAAATGAAGCATGGAGTGATTTTTGATAAACCAACAACGATGGAATTTGTTGGACGTACTTTGGAACCAGAAAAGAGCATATCAATTGATTAATATCGTATTGTTTCTCTAGGAAAGGGATCTATTAATAAAAGACAACTCCAGAATGTTCTTGTTTCGATCTGCCTTGAACAATGGGCATGACTGGCATGGCCATTAGTTACAAGTTATTAGCATGCAAGTATGGAAAGGCATCTTGGTCGTCCAATTGAAATTAAAATCCAAAAGTAGCAAAAATGATAATCACTTAGGGAAAATATTTAAGAAATATGAATTCAGCTAAGATGGAGATAGCATGAGAAACTGGATGATGCGGAGAACGCTAGCTCGGGGATGCCATCGGAACATCTTACCTTTGCTAACAAACTATGTCATTCTCCATTATCTTATTTTTACTTTCAGCTACATTTTACTATTTTCTGCCTGCATTAGTACTATTAGTCCTTTTTAGAAAATATTTCAGTTATAGCAAAAGGGTTAGGGAAATTAGAGAGGAGGAGATACATATACTGGTAGTCTGGTAGAAGGAAAATTGTGGTTACTTTTTGGCTTTTCAGATAGTAAGAAGAAGTTTGAAAGAGTTCTTCAAACAGAACTTCGTTGTTTTCGTTTTTCTTTTTGGCTTGTGTTATTGCAGGTGACGGAGCACTACATCAGCTTTGGTATCAGAGCCAGCGATGGCAGAGCATGGCAAACAATCCATCACCGGAGAAGTTCCAAGCCTGGAGCCGCTCTGAGCAAAACAGACCAATATCATGCGTCAGTTGGACGAGCTATCAGCCAATGTGCAAAGGTTAGCAGTGGAGTTTTGCCATGAGTTCAATCTCGATCGGGCGTCAGCCGGTGCCGAGGGAAGAAATGCCTCCAAATAGGCCTATGCTGCGGAGGGGAGCAGCCCTTGTCCGCAACATCCAATGCATTCCGGCTGCTCAGCTGGAGGCGCCCGATTCGAAGGAAGATTGGCATATGTATCGAACAACAAATGGAGTTGAATCCGGAGAACAAGATGATGGCATGAGGTATCAGCCAGAATACCAGGGGCATCGCAGGCCAAGACCCAGATATTACTCGCAAGGAGAATTTAAAGTTAAATTAGATATTCCATTCTTTGTTGGACATTTGCACATTGAGGATTATCTAGATTGGGAGAAGGCAGTTGAAATTTTTTTTGAGTATATGGAGGTTGATCCTGACAAACAGGTAGAATATGTCGCCTGTCGATTGAAGGGAGGTGCGAGTGCTTGGTGGGCACAAGTGTTACAATTGAGCCAGCGGAAAGGCAAAGGGCGAGTGCAGAATTGGGCAAGAACGAAGCAACTGTTTAGGGCACAATTTTTACCCACGGAGTGAGGTACCAACATTGTATCCAAGGTACACGATCCGTGAGCGAGTATACTGAAGAATTCAACAGATTAAGTGCTAGAAACAATCTTAATGAATCTGCCAATCAACTGGTAGCATGTTACAACGGGGGACTAAAAGACAGTATTCAAGATTGACTTGAGCTGAATCCCATTTGGTCTATGTCGCATGCAGTCAACTTCGTCTTGAAGGCGGAAATGCACAAAACAGACAACCAATGAATTCTTTCAATCGTCGCCATTAGCAAAACCATTCCACGGCGGCAGCAAGGGAACTTCGGCGGTTGTTAAAACTCCCTACAACACCCCTGTTTCAATCTCAAACACTCCAGCACCTTGTAATAGCGTCGAGCCCAAGAACCAAATGAAAAACAGGCCTGCCAATAAAGACAATCCATATGCCAAGCCGTCCACACTTAAGTGTTTTCGATGTTTTCAACCAGGGCATAAGTCGAATGAATGTCCACAAAGGAAGCATATCCACCTAGCGGAAGGCAAAGATGAAGAGGAACAAACAACAACTGAATTGGAAGGTGATTGTGAAACAGAGGATATTCAAGCCGATGAAGGGGAACTACTGGTTTGTGTCATGGAGAAACTGTTGTTATCCCCACGCCAACCCGTTAATTCCCAACGACACGCTATATTCAGGACTCGTTGCACTATCAATGGGAAGGTGTATGATCTATTAATCGACAACAGATGTACGAAGAATGTTATATCCCGAGCAGTGGTACAAAATCTGCAGTTCAAGACAGCAAAAAACCCTAATCCTTATAAGATAAGATGGGTAAAGAAGGGTATGGAGATAAGTGTCACGAAGTCTTGTCGAGTGACTTTTTCCATTGGTAAACAATATGTTTGTGAGGTGCTATGCGACGTCTTGGAAATGGATGTTTGCCACATAATATTGGGGAGACCATGGCAATTTGATGTAGGCGCTACTTATAATTGCAAGGCTAATGTGTACTCATTTGAGTGGAAGGACAAAAAGCTCCGTCTAATCTCCAATTCGGCAGAATCAAAAGTTCAGCAAACAAAGTCTGCAAAACAAGCAGCCTTGCATATGGTAACCAGATCTGTATTGCTTCACTGCTGGAGAGAACTGAACCCCTTGTTTGCCTTGTTGATAACGGAACCCAATCTTGACACTTCCCAACAAAAGTTGCCCAATGAACTCTACAAATTACTTCAATAATATGAAGACCTCACACCTGAAGAATTGCCCGCTGAATTACCGCCACTCTGCAACGTCCAGCATCAAATAGATCTAATACCCGGTTCGTCGCTGCCCAACCTTCCCCATTACAGGCTCAGTCCGTAAGAGCAAGGCATTTTACAAGAATTAATAGATCAATTACTGGAGAAAATTTTGATCCAAATGAGCATGAGCCCTTGTGATGCACCGGCGCTCTTGGTACCCAAAAAAATACGGAAATTGGTGAATGTGTATAGATAGCTGGACCATTAACAAAATAACGATCAAGTACAGATTTCATGTACCACGTGTTGAAGAGTTGATTGACCAGCTTATGGGAGCTACTATTTTCTCCAAAATTGATCTTCGCAGTGGATATCATCAAATTCGGATACGCCCCGGCGACGAATGGAAAACGGCATTCAAAACCCCACAGGGATTGTATGAGTGGAAAGTCATGTCGTTCGGATTATGTAATGCCCCCTCTACATTCATGAGGATGATGACGGAGATCCTCAAACCGTATATGGGCAAATTCTGTATTGTGTACTTTGATGATATTTTGGTGTATAGTTTGACTGGCAGGAGCACTTACATCATTTAACAACCCTTCTTGAGGTCTTAAGGCAACAAAGGTTATTTATTGATCAACCTAAGTGTGAATTTGCAGTTTCTAAAGTCTCATTCCTTGTATTCATAATTTCAACAGAAGGAGTGCATATGGATCCAAACAAAGTATCTGCAATTGTTGATTGGCCGGCCCCACAATCTTTTTTTGAAGTGTGAAGCTTCCATGGATTGGCGAACTTCTACCGGAAGTTTATAAAAAATTTCAGCATTATCTTAGCACCTGTCACTGAGTGCTTGAAATCCAAGACTTTTAATTGGAGGGAAGAGCAACCACAAATCTTTGAAGCAATTAAACAAGCTATCAGCTCGGCCCCAGTGCTTGTCCTTCCTAATTTTGACAAACTGTTTACTATAGATACGGACGCCTCCTCTATAGGCATCGGAGCCGTCCTATCACAAGAAGATAGAACAGTTGCTTTTTTCAGTGAGAAACTGTGCGCAACTCGACAGAAATGGTCAGCTTACGAGCAGGAATTCTATGCTATCATTCGGGCACTTAAGTAGTGGGAGCCGTATTTATTGCACCGGTACTTCATACTTTGTAGTGACAACAAAGCTTTATAATATATAAATAGCCAAAAAATAGTAAATCGTATGCATGCTCGTTGGTTGATGTTTTTGCAGAGATTTTCTTTCACGACTAAGCATAAGCCGGGTGTCGAGAACCGAGTGGCTGATGCCCTTAGCAGAAAACGAATTCTACTTACACAAATACAATCTGAAATAACAGGATTAGAATATCTTAAAGAAATCTACGATGAGGATCTGGATTTTAGTGCCATCTGGAAGCGTTGCTAGGAGGAGTTTGGCTTTGAAGACTATTCCATCAGACATGGCTATTTATTCAATAAAATCTTCTTTGCATCCATGTTTCGTCCTGGCGACAACAAATCATACGCGAAGTCCATGGCGGCAGCCTTGCCGCACACGTAGGAAGAGATAATACACTTCAACAGCTTCAGACTCATTTTTTTTTGCCTCGGCTAAGACGGGATGTAATCCGTTTGGTGGACAGCTGCCCAATCTGCCAAGTTTATAAGGGATGAGCTCAAAATACAGGTCTTTACATGCCTCTGCCGATGCCCGATTCAATATGAGAAGATCTGAGTCTTGACTTTGTTTTGGGCTTGCCAAGAACCAAGCGTGGCAACGACTCGGTCATGGTTGTCGTGGACAGGTTCTCTAAAATGGCACACTTTATCTCTTGTAAGAAACTGCAAACGCCCTAAATATTGCAAACCTTTTTTTAATAAAATTGTATGTTTACACTGCCTGCCGAAGAGTTACATCTGATCACAACGTCAAATTCATAAGTCATTTCTGGCGTGAACTTTGGAAAAGGTTGGGTACCGACCTTCGACTTAGTTCGGCATACCACCCTCAAACTGATGGGCAGATGAAGGTTGTGAATCGTACATTGGGCAACATGCTATGGTGCCTTGTCTGTGACAATCCAAAGAAATAGGAAGAAGTCTTATGTAAGGCAGAGTTCGCTTACAACTCAATGGCCAACCTCTCTACGAGTAAGTCACCTTTTAGTATTGTTTACACTAAAAAATCTAACATTGCTTTGGACATCACCATTCTACCGAAATGTAAGTCTACCACTGCTACAAATTTCACCGATCGGTATTTGGAGATGCTAGCTGATGTTCGCCAACAAATTATCAAGGCTAATTTACAATACAAAGTAGTTGTTGATGCTCACCGCCGACATACAACATTCAATATAGAAGATCTAGTCATCGTAAGGCTTCGAAGGGAACGATTCCCACCAGGAACTTACAGCAAGCTAGCACGATGCAAGTTGGGACCTGTACCTATTACAACAAAAATCAATGATAACGTGTATACCGTTGATCTACTTGCTGATTGCAACACATCCTCGACTTTTAATGTTTCGAACATTTGGGCTTATAAACCTGCAAACGATGCCGTCATCTCACTTAGCTCGTCAGAGTCGAGCTCTTCTGAAGCCAGGGAGGACTGATGCGGAGCACGCTAGCTCAGGGATGCCATCGGAACATCTTACCTCCGGTAACAAATTGTGTTGTTCTCCATTATCTTATTTTTACCTTTCAGCAACATTTTACTATTTTCTGTCTGCATTAGTACTATTAGTCCTTTTTAGAAAATATTTTAGTTATAGCACAAGAGTTAGGGAAATTAGAGAGGAGGATATACATATACTAGTAGAAGGAGAATTGTGGTTACTTTTTGGCTTTTCAGATAGTAAGAAGAAGTTTGAAAGAGTTCTTCGGACAGAACTTTGTTGTTTTCATTTTTTTCTTTTTGGCTTGTGTTATTGCAGGTGACGGAGCACTACATCACTGGAAAAGCCAAATTCCTGTTACTCCTATGTCCCTGAGCAATGTAAATATAACCAAGAGGACCATTAAGTTGAAAGATGAAAGTCTAGGAAGCATTCAGTGTTCATTATGTTTGATTTCAGGCCCCTCAAAAAAACAAACGACTCCCCATGCCAGAAAAAATAATTTCCGTATGTAATTTCCCTTGGAAATCTTACCAATATAAGTCGCCAGTTGTAAGAGCCATTCATTGCACGATCAGTAAAACAATATAAAGGAAAGTACTGCTGCCCATCGCTAAATGAGGTTTTTAACTTACCACCCAGTTCCTCAATGCAGATTTCATGATCTTCCCAGTCTCCGAAGCTCCTTCAAAAAGTGGGAGCGTATATATGATCTCCTCCTTGCTTAAAAAACTCATAAGATCCTCCACTTCAATGTATCTAGTAAAAATGACCATAATTATTATTAAAACATAAATTGGATGAATCAGAAATTGGATGAATGAAGCAAGAAAAAACTGATACTGTATCCTAAGCGCCCATTTTCTCACTTGTAACCAGGTTTTGCAACTAACTTAAAAATCTGGTAAGCTGCAGCCCTTGCTTCTCCCTCGTTAGTTATCTCCTTATGTCTTTGCTCACCCCTATCCTCATCGAAGCTCTCATCAATCTTAGTTGATATTGTTGAGAGCCGAGAGCTTCTAATAACGTTTACAAGACCTCGCATGGCCAAAGCTGAGACTTTCTCCTGGCTGATGCGGTGAAGCTTTGCAATGTCAATCACCTCTAGCTCATCTTCTTTTCCTTTTCCCTTGTTTTTAACACTGCACCTAAAGCTGAACTCAGCTGAACTCTTAGAAGGACCAACTTTATCTGCCATTTCCATCGCTGGAGGTCTTGAAAGAGCTTGCAGCAAATACTGGTGATAGAGAGACTCCTGAATCCGATCAAAGAATCTGTTCATTTGGAATGATGAAGCTAATACTTTTACCAAAAGGATTTTTACCAACCAAATAACAGAACCCATCAAGAGTGAAGCCAAGGCTCTGGACACGTAATGAAGAGCTTTTGCAGTTTTTGGAGATCTTGGAACATCGTTGGCATTGAAAATGAGTGAACTAGAGAGTAGAACCAACCCTAACCATACACAGACCCTAACACTTTTCTGAAGTCCATAGACAAAGTAGAGAACTTTCTTTCTAAAAAGGAAATTTTTTTCAATCAAGAATACAAAGACACTGATAACCCAGCGGGTCATAAGTTGCCCACAGAAAATGACCATCACCATAAGGCACCACTTCCAAATCTCCAAGCCCCAGATCACATCTCCTTGCAACCTGTGAACCAGCAAGCTTGTAATCAAGCAAGCTGTAGCCATAATTAACATCAGCCACTCAGTTAGAAGCCAAATTTTCCTTTTTTTCCCCCGCTTTCCAGTTCCCTGGAGCGACTCCTTCTTGTACACTTCAACCTCCTCTTCCTCTTCTTCTTCATCAACGTTGGAATGAAGAGTCTTGAGAATTCCTGAAGTTTTTTTGTTTGGCGATCCATTATATGGTGAGCTTGAAGGCCGGTCACGGGCCAATGCATGGGGGCTGACACTAGAATTCACAGGCTCTTCAAATCTTGACTTGGGTTTGGTGAACGAACTCCAGCGGATGAGCGCCTCTTGCTGTGGGGGCCTAGGGTTCTTCTTCGGGGTCATTCCAGCAGAATTTGATATCTCTGAGCTGGGTGTCCTGGGTTTGACACTATGAGGTTCCTGCATAGACTCCAACCTTGTATCATTGACTGGGTGATTTGAAGAATTTTCTGCAGCTGTTGACTCTACCGGAATCACTAAAACTACCTCCTCTGACTTCTTCACTGTTAATTCTTTATGGGGGTCCATGGAATTTCCAACTCGGCAAAACTAAAAAACATCGCAAATTTAATCTAGTGTTAGCTAAAGGATAAACTAGCTTTATAAAGATGTTTGAAATACATAAGCCAAAACAAATTCCCGAGTTGAGAAACCTAGTTAATAAGAACTAAAAACATAAAAAAGACCAAAGTTTGCTGCTTGAAAAACCTAGCTTCCCAAAAAAAAATTCAAGAAAGAACTATGCAATGGTCAATTCAAAATCTCTATCCCCCTCCATAAAGCACAAATTGAGGTAACGTGAAACAATCTAAACTTCAAGGAATAGCTTCGTATGGTTAGAGCTGATCGAAGGAGAATACCTGACTTGCTAAAGTTTACGCTATACAGAGAAAGGCGCGGCGACTCCGACACCCTATCTCTTTCAAACTGGCAAGAGAGAGTAGCTCAAGCAATACTGACATTGAACAAAGCTTCTTCACCTTCGAATCTTCTTGTGAACCACAGGAGCAGGTTTTCTTCACCATCAGCTCCCAATCCCATAAGTCACCAAGTTTTCCTTCTCCAGTATTTCCTTTTTTTTTTTTTTAATAGGATATTTGTTACCCGGGAAAATTAAAAAAAAAAATAAAATAAAAAAAAGCCGTTTAAGCACCAAGCTTTTTAATATAAAGGGTGGAGCTGCATTTATAACAGAGTCGCCACGTGCCAAATCTCAGTTGGGAGTAGCAAAAGCGTGTTCGCTGTTCGTGGAAACCAGAAAAGCGAAGGTAGTGGAACAACTCGATTTCGCACTTGTTGCATCGGATGCATCTAACCGTCCGTTTGGCAAATTTTAAGGATTTAAATTGGTCAATTTTTTTTTAAAGTTGTATCATTAAAAATTAATTAAGCAAAATAATATAATTAGGAAATTTTTAAGGAAGGATTTAAACTTTAAAATGTTTTGCATTTTTTTAAAATACCAAATAAATAAATAAAATTACAAATTTTAGAAAAAAATTTAAAATCTTTTTGTTAATGTTTTTTTTTTCTCTTTATTTACTGTAACTTTTTTTATATTTAAGATGAAAACATTTTTGTTAATATTAAATTTATAATGTTAATGTTCATTTTATAATTTTAATTTAATTTAGTTTATTTTGTTAATTTAATTTAGTAATCTTTATTTTACAATATAAACTATGTTAATGTCAATTCACTTTGCTTGTTAACTTTATTTGTTAATGTTAGTTTTCTAATGTAAAGTTTTTTTAATTATGTTATAAATTATTAAAGTTGTTTATATATATTATAATTTAATTTCTTTATACATCTTTAATAATTTAATAATTTATATTATATTTAATCAATTGAATATAACTTTGAAAGATGAATTAGGTTTCTCTTATGTCAAGTGAATAATAAATTACTTAAGTTTATTTATGTCACACAAAGAAACAACTAAGGATTATCTTTAGATAATTAATTATTAAGATTTTGAGGTTGGTGTCATGGAATATTCGTAGCGGTAGAGAAATATAAAGTTTAACGTCTTAGCTTTGTACGAAGATCTAATACGCATACAGATAAAGAGAGACGGTGTAGCGTTTATAAGAGACACCAGAGTTTTTATGTGGAAACCCCTGAAAAAGGGAAAACCACGGGGCCTAACCCAGTTTGAATGAATCCACTATTATTTGCAGTCGATTACAAATGAGACACTTCCTTTGGGGAAGGCATTGGGTTGATGTAGATAATGTATATCATATTACATGGTGGAAATTAGAAGAATTAGTAATGAAATTGTCGTTTGGTCAGAAGGACCATAATCGATGAGCCACGAAGGTTTAAAAGACCATTGTCCTGTGACAGAGGTTAGAAAAATTGTTGTCTGGCACAAAAGGTCAGAAGGACCGTAGTCGGCGAAGGAGGTCGGAAGAAACATAATCGATGGAAGACGGATGTTGAAATGACCGTAGTTGTCAGGTGACGGAGGTCTGAAAGAACGCACTCGTCGGAGGAGGTCAGAAGGACCATACTCGACAGAGGAGGTCGGAAGGACCGTAGTCTAGTGTCAGGCGGAAGTCCAGCGATGGACAGAAGTCCAGGAACGGGCGGAAGTCTGGCGTAGGGTAGAAATCTGACCATGGTCGGCGGCCGGGTGGAAGTTTGGAAATTGTTAGCTATTGGGTGGTGGTCTGATAACTATTGGGCTGAAGTCTGGCGGTGGTCGGTTGACAGGTGGTGGTCCGACGACGGTCAGGCTAAAGTTTGACTACAATCGACGGTCGGGTGGAAGTCCGGCGGTGATCGGTGTCTGGTGTAAGTTTAGTGAGGGTCGGGCTAAAATTCTCGGCGGTCGACCTTTGGGTAGTTGTCTGAAGACGGTCGTGCTAAAGTCCGACGGTGGTCGACCTTTGGGTGGTGGTCTGATGTCATTCGGCCTTCGCATAGTGCTCACGACGGTCGGACTGGATTACGGCTATGGCCAGGCAAAACTTCGATGACAGTGATTAGCGGCCGGGCGGAAGTCCAGCGGCAGTCGACAGCCTATGCTAAAGTTCGACAGATGTCAGTAGCTAGGGTGGATGTCGAGTGACGGTCGGCGGTCGGGGGGATCTCCGACGGCTGCTGAGCGGTGGTCCGACAAAGGTCGGGCTCAAGTCCGGCGGCGGCCGACGACCAGGTGGAAGTTCGACGGTCTAGCGGTGGTCCGACGAAGGTTGGACTAAAAGTTTGGTAGCGGTCATTAGCCGTGTAGTGGTATGATGATAATCTGGCCAAAATTCAACGGCGGTCGACGGCCGAAGCGAAAGTGGAGGGTTTCGATGGCGGTGCGCCGTGGCAAGAAGACCGCAGTGGTCGGCGACCGTGTGGAAGTCTGAAAGCAGTCGGTGCTGGGGTGGAAGTCCGGCTGCGGTCGATGGTCGGGGGCGTGGTTCTGACGACATTGGCTGAAAGTGCGGCGACGGATTGCGGCGGGCGGAAGTTTGGTGGCGCTCGACAGTCGGCGGCCTAGCAGAACTCCGATGGCGGTCGGCGGTCGGTGGCCGGGCAGAAGTCCGAAGGCGGTCGGCTGCAGAGACAAAATTTGGGCTATGATCGGTGGATGGGGGGAAGTCTGGCGGTGGCCAGGTGCCGGGCGGAAGTCCGGCAGTTATCGATGGCCGGGCGGTGGTTCGATGAAGGTCATGCTAAAGTCCGGTGGCCGGGAGGTGGTCTGACAATGGCTGGGCTGAAGTCTGGTGGCAGTCGACGGCCGGGCAGAATTCCGGTGGCGGTCAGCGGCCGGGTGAAATTCTGGCAGCTGGGGCGAAAGTCCAGCGACGGTTGTCGACCGGGGGAAAGTCTAGCGGTGGTCAGATGAAGGTTGAGCTCAAGTCCGTTGGCAACCGACGACCTGGTGGAAGTTCAGCAGCGACCGATGGTCAGGTGGAAGTGTGGCGGCTGCCGACGGCCGGGCTGTGCTCCGACGAAGGTATGGTTAAAGTTCAGCTGCGGTCAGTGGCCTGGCAGTGGTCTAACGATGGTCGGGCTGAAGTATGACAGCGGTCGACAACCGGGCAAAAGTCTGGAAACAATCGGCTATCGAACAGAAGTCTAGCGGCGGCTGGCGGCCTGGCGGAAGTTCGGCGGCCATGCGATTATGCGACGTCGGGCGGTGGTCGGTAGCCGGGCGGAAGTCGGGCGGCGGTTGGAAGCCAGGAAAAAGTCAGGCGGCGATCGGCGGCCATGCGATTGTGCGACGATGGTCGTGCTAAATTCCGGCTGCGATCGACGGTTGGGCAGAAGTCCAACAGTGATTGACGGCCAAGCGGTGGTGCTAGAGCTCTTGAAACTTCATAGCTCTCTCTAATCTTTAGCCCATAGGTCCTCTTCATGTAGAGAGTGGGGCCTATTTATAGATTTCACTAGTGGCGCACCCTATAAATATAGAGAATATATGGGGTAGGTTCGGAGTGCTCCATCGGATGGTTCGTATTCATTCCCCCAATCATAGAGAGTTATTCAAATGTTTAGGTGCTTTAATGATGTTGAAATTCATCGGTCTTGGGCTCGTTGGATTCGTCTCGCCGAGCCGCTCGATTTGACTATAAGCATGTCATATTTGGGTTTCATTTTGTCATCCCAATAATGTTTTGATCCTTCCAAATGTGGTTCGGGACTCCGATTTGGACTCATTTGGGCTCGGGTTGGACCGATTTTGGTGTCGTTGGTTTCATCTCTTTGAAACGTTCAGTTTGACTATAATTTTGCTGAAATTGTAATTAAAATGATCCCAAATTTAAATTTTCGATTGCGTATCAGTTGCTCTCCTATTTTTGGATATTGAATCTGGTATAGTCCAAAAATATATCCGTAATTTTAGCACTCTGCGAAGTCTGAGCATTAATCATAACAAAAAAGCATCAAAAAAGTTTACTCCAAAATGTTTCAAATAGCTCAAAACTTATCATAGAGATTCTTTTGTGCCTCGAAAGTATTAAAATTAAGTCCAAAATATTGAAAAATAATTCCGTAGACTACAAAAAGTTCACATTTAACTTTCTAGGATAAACATATAATTAATTATTTAAGAATTCGTTTTAAACAAATCTATTGTAATTAATTATAGTTAATATAATATAATTATATATATCATTGTCATGATTACCTTACATGACAATGATATTAGTTTTAAAATTTTTTCTTATATATAATTGTTATATTATATATGTAAACATAATAGATTGATTATGATATGTATAAAGGATTAACTATTGCCTAAAATAGTTGTATTAACTATTACCATAGAAGTAGGCTACAGTAGGCGCGAAATAGGCAGAATTTTAGAATTTTATTATTATTATGAATTAAAAATTTTTTTTTTTTGGGAAGAATCGGGGCATAGCCCATTTTATTGAGATGAAAAAGGGTACATAAAAAGACCTACAGTAAAACAAAGACTAACATAGACAAAGAGTTCAACTCAAACATAGACCTAACAAAGAGCCAAACATAAAACTAAAACTTAAACATAACAAACCAAAAAGTACAAAACAAAAACATCAAAGTGAACAAACAGCGCCGAGAAAGCTCCCGCTCCAGCCATACTACAGAACAACCGAAATTTTAGTAGAACTGAAATTTCTCAATAAGATGATGAAAATGCTTCCAGCTACACGTTATGACCCGTATAGTGTTTTTGATAGTAATGGTAATATTCTCCGTAGAAATCCATTTGTTAGCAAATTTTCGATTATTCCTTTCTCTCCAAAGATGGTAGACTGTGCAGCCAATCGTAAGCCAGCAGAAGTTCTTTTCCCATTTGGACAAAAGCAGCTGGTTATCCAGATAATCAAAAACCTGAATCAAATTTGGTCTAAGTAAGAAAGAGTTGAAGTCTGGATAAGCTTGATAATGACATTAAAGGTAAAATCACAGTTAAAGAAAAGATGGTTGTGATCTTCCTGAGCTTTGTTGCAAAGGCAGCAAACCGGATTGACCTGGATATATTTTTTGATTAACAAATCAGCAACTTTCAGTTTCTGCAGAATGGCCATCCAGGTTAGAATAGAATATCTAAGCGAGTAAGATTTATGCCACACATACTTGTG